TGAGAGGTGGTCCAAGGAACGGATGAAAAGGGCACTGTGTAATGCCGGTAATACCCCCATCTGGTCCGAATCCAAGCAGATAGATCGCGTTAACGGGTTATGAACTCCATGTAGAGCCAGGTAGGGAGGAAGCAAGAAACAGTTAAGCCGAGTACAGGTCCTCGACAACGAAAAGATGTCTTCGAGTTCGAGAAAGTCGCATACGAGCAATAAAAGCTCAGCACAGAGTGACATCATCTTGCGGCACTGTTCATCCACAGCGGCTATTTCTTGAGGTAAAACTAGTGTCAATAAGCCGTAGAGATTCTAGTACACAATGCTCACCCCCGACTTGGACCGCCATAACTGCTTGTTATCAAGCTGGTCTCAAGGCACAACAGTGCCATTCTTGGGTATTTATGTGCACATGTCCGGAATAGATGCACAAACACGGTCTGGAGGAGAACCGGCTTGCCGGTGGCTGGGAAGAAGCAGGAAACGATTGCCCCTGATACGAAAGCATGTCGGAGTTCCTCGCCAATTTCCAGTCAGCTCAATTGCCAAATAATATGGCATTCCATGTCTTTGTACATAATTACACCCATACTTGATTGCGATAAAAAGAAATGTCCACAGTGGCGTCCAAAACATCGTAACCGATCGCCTCAGAGCGAGTCCATTAGATCCTTCTCTTCTGAACTCGACGGAATGGGACCCTCCGACAAAGGTTCCAACACCCTACGGCTGTTAGGAAGATCAGGGCCAGCTGAACTCTCCTTGTTACCAACGTGTTGCTTGAGCGCTCGCAAAACCTCCGGAATAACGTCCTTGTGCACATTCCTGCCCCATAGAATATCGAGATGCTCGTATGTGCGTAAGCGCTTGGCCACGGTGTGAGGTGGCAATTCTTTGAGCATAGCGTCGATGTCGACCAAACTATCTTGATCGCCATAGAGCAGTACGATGGGTGTCACAATATTACGGGTCGGAAAGCGGGTGGGGTAGTACGAGCTGATGCTGGTACGGAACACCTGAGAGAGAACCGTGTCATCGTACATCTGGAATACAGAGGTACGCATGATCTGGAACCAATGCACCACAGATTTGGTCGAAGCAAGGGAATACAGATGTGCATATGCCGCAATTTTCTGGTTTGTGCTGATATTGAGACTGTGCCAGTTGAAAAGCCAGATCAAAGACCTGTCGATAAGTTTGGCGAAGATGGGTGGGTAAATGATTGACTGCCACATAGGGGTGGATGCTAAGATGGACTTGCGGCCAAAGAATAAGAACATGAGGGTAGGTCTAACAAACGGTGAGTGGATGTGTTCAAGGTTATCAGCGGAAAACCACTCACGATGATTTCATCAGGCCATCTACAATGGGTGCAGCGAGACCAGCCGGGCTCATAGCAGGAGCCAGAGCGATGAACAAATTCACCTTCTCGTTGAGTTGTGGGTGAACGCTGAGTGCCGCAAAAGCCTGAGCAGACCCTTGGCTAAAACCTATATAACTCAGTGTTGGTGCCTTTGTGCATTCTAGGATGTAATTGATGGAATCCGGAATATCGTGCCACGCGAAGTCATCAATACTACACCCGGACGTGAGCAGGAGTACACCTCAAATCAACCGGTTGTAACACACCTGAAGTCCCAGAATTTCGTAGAATTCGGGTTATGATGAATGGATTTCTTGGAATATTTATTGCCCCTTTACGCCTGTTAATATTATGGGCGCCTATATGCTGTGAATGACGCACCTGTTATTTCCGAACCAAACGTCATACCCTTGTTCCACCAACACGAATGGGAGTGCTCGTTCCGCGTCAGTCAGACACACCCACACCTCACTATTCATCAAAAGGCCATGGTGAAGGTAAACCACAGGCTTTCCTGTGCTAGTTCCGGGGCGCGACCTCTTCTGGCCTCGCTTGGAGGGAAGACGATGCAAACCAAGTAGATACCCGTCCTTGGTTAACACGACGTGCTCCTCGTACGTATAATCAAAGATCTCGCACAGCTCCCCAAAATCTCGAGCATGCAAGATGCGATCCACGATCTTCTTGTCCCTCGGCTTGGGAGGTACTTTAGGCTGCCCGCCATGACGGATGAAGAGGGCGCGAGAACTGCGATAGAAGAAGTTGATTACTTGCTTCGGGAGGCCGAGAACGATGAGTCGAAGGAATATTTCGAAGACGAGAAAGAGTGAGCCAAAAACGAGAGCGGTGTATTCTCGGAAAGAGAGTCTTCCAATCAGAGGAAGGTTGAGCATTGTTGCAACTGGTCTTCGCTGGTTTTCAAGCTTGTAGGACAGATGAGCAGCAGAAAACGCACGTTATAAAGAAGGAAACATGCAGCGATGGCGTTGAAGAAGGGCACCGACGCGCAGAAGAGTGAGGGAGCAAAATAATGATATCACATGTCTGCGCAAGGTTGACGAATTTGGCGGTCTGCAAGCACGAACCGCGGCCGTAAATTCAAAAGGATCGCTGCCATCTCATTTCAAACTTCAAACTTCCATTGCTTATCGTCTTTTGTTTCTACCGCCCTCCGTCTGCTCACTGGCCTTTGGTTGCGAAAACTCTCCTTGCTTCAAGACATCTTTGGCCACCTCCGAAATCCTCTTCCACCTGTCAGACCCAAGCTTAACACCCCCGTACCACCGCGAGACGACTACAATAGCATTCTCGCAGTTGGAAAGCTCCAACAGCCGGGCAAGTCGGTCACCACTGCCGCTCTCTCCCCCGTCATGCTGGCCAAGTTGAAGCTCCCTTGAATCCGGGTGTTTGATTCGGTATGCATACATGCAATGCGTCGCGCGTTTCAAGATTGGCAACGCATTGAGATAACTGAGGAACTTGGGGAACTCTGAAGCTGCTTGGAGGGCGGATGCATGGGCCAGAAAGACCGACTTGCGATCAGTAGCACGCTCGGAAACATATATAGGGTATGGCCATTCCAGAGAGTCCTAAAAAGCTATCTCCGTTAGCAATAACGATGCCAATCTCTAAAATGAAACCCACCTGCCGATTTCTGGAGTTTGTGATTATCGTTCGACAAATGATTCTGGTGCCATGAGCTCTCGAGTAAAGTATCATGTTCTTGAGGTCAGCATAGCTTCCCTTGAGGATGAAACGGAGATAAGGTAAGGCCGGAGATCATGACGAACGACCAACGTTGGTGTTGCGGGAGCTGGTGATCTAGGGAAGCACGGTTATTCGCGGACCTTGGAAATCATTGGGATGCTGGCCATATGGCTCGTTAACCTCGAACCGTATGTTCGCTTACCAGAGAAGGCTGGTTTCAAGCTGGACTCGACGTATCCGAGCATGATGCAATCACCAGCCGTACCCGTATTTCCAAATCCCCAATGCCGTTTCCCGAAATGCTCGAATGGCGTATGCGCACGTCTGGCTGGGTTTATGTATATCAGGATATTTTTTTCCCCTGGTATAAGTATCAACCACCCGAGGTTCTGTCTTCGGTTTGGCCCATAACTCCACGACACCACATCCCTTGTCATCACTATGCGTGAGTTGTGTCCACCGTTATCGACACTTCCAGTAATCCTCAGTTTGATTCAACAGGCCTTATCATCCGTGATGATCCCGCTGCTGTTGGCGACTACATCGCCAGCTACATCTGCAAGCGGTGAGTCACCATATCCACGTCTGGCCCAGTATCGCTCACGCCCTCTTCACAGCATAAATGGCTTCAAGCCAACCCAAGAAAAGCCCTTCGTGCTGGGCCTTCCGACAGGGTCCTCTCCCATCCCAACATACAAGCGACTTATCAAGTTTGTGAAGGAAGGAGAACTATCGTCAGTATATGCAATGCTTCTACCTGCTTTGCATTTGTCTGATATCGTCCCCATAGATTCAAGAATGTCGTCACATTCAACATGGACGAATACGTTGGCCTTCCCCAAGACCACCCCGAGTCATACCACACATTCATGTTCCGGGAATTCTTCTCGCACGGTACGTACTTGATGCTGCATATACTAACTCTTGACACCTGGCTCACTTACCTTGTTGGCAGTCGACATCCCTCCTTCGCAAGTCAACATCCTGAATGGAAATGCTGAGGACCTCGTGGGTGAATGCAAAGCCTATGAAGCCAAGATCAAGTCGTATGGGGGTATCGAATTGTTCTTGGGAGGAATCGGCGAGGACGGTCACATTGCATTCAACGTAAGCCTCCCATATCTCGTCCTTGTTTCCCTCTCAACCATCTAATCCCTACAGGAACCAGGCTCCTCGCTCTCTTCGAGGACACGTATCAAGACACTCGCATACGACACCATCCTCGCTAATGCTCGTTTCTTCAACAACGACATCTCTGCCGTTCCTCGTATGGCTCTGACAGTCGGTGTCGCAACCGTTCTCGATTCTCGTGAGGTTGTCACTGTTGTAACTGGTCTCAGGAAAGCTTTGGCACTGAGCAAGGCTATTGGTAAGTCAATTGGACACTTTAACAGAACCCGCTGATCGTTGTGAATTTCGTCTTCAGAGGAAGGTGTTAACCACTTGGTACGGCATTTTCTTCTATTTCCATAACTTGTGCTCATACCCTTCATAGTGGACACTCTCGGCCCTCCAACTCCACCCTTGGGCACTCATCGTCGCAGATGAGGATGCTACGGCTGGTGAGTCTCGTCTTCTTTGTCCTGACCATTTCAAGTAACCCGGCTACGTAGAATTGCACGTCAAGACCGTCAAATACTTCAAGTCTATCGAACGTGTCCAGGAAGAAGTTGAGCGTTCGCAAGAATTGTTGAAGGCCAAAGAGGGCACTCCTCAACAAGTCGGTAGCATGGAGTAATCACCTATGTAGATTCACCAGCATGGAATAAATATTTTGTAATATTTCAGTATTTACAGTTCACAATGCATTTTTCCACAATGATTTTAGTCACTTTGGAACTTTTCAATAGCCACTCAGGGGAAACTGCGATTTCTGTGACCAGAATCACCAGATATTGTGCAGATAATGTTAACGCTCAAAAAAGGAAACCAAAAGAGGTGCTACCAGGGTTCGAACCTGGGTTTCGGGAAGATTTGACTCGTCAAAATCCCGAGTGATAACCACTACACTATAGCACCTTGTTTAGGGCCGAACCACGTTAACATAAAACTGCGAGGTATGTGATCTTGTTGAGCAGCGATGGTACAATAGTAATATGGTTATTATCAGTGCAGTACATGGTACAACAGCCACGAAACAATAGTGCACGACACAGTCTACAATGATAACGATACATAGTACGAAGGCTACAATTCGTTGGCTTGTTCTCGTTTTCGAGCCTTTTTCTCTGCTTTTATCTTTTTCCGCTCTTCTTTCGACAAGAGCTTTTTCTCTGCCTTGGAGACCTGAGATTCTTCATCTGGAGCGCCAACAGGATCACCCCCTTCTTGCGCGTCGATACTCCCCGGTACTTGAGAGGTGACATCACTGAGTAACTTGGACTCAGGCCGTTCCTTCCGTTTTCGTTTCTTCTCCTGTTCAGAACCCCTGCTCGACTCTTTATCAGCTTTCCGTTTCTTTTCCTCCTTCCTCTTTCCTTCTTTCGGTTGGAATTTTCGTTCATCATCTGTGGGTATCCGGGGTAAGTCCGCGATGGGTCCTGCATCTGGGGCTTTGCCTTCGTTCGTATCGGCAGACGTGGAGGATGTGAGTGTCGGAGTAGAACTAGCAGGGGAGAAGGATGACATCAAGGAAGAGCAATTCTTCGAAGCCTTAAGAGCATCCTCTTCAACTTCATCAGGAAGCGCAAACCGAACTCGGTACGAACCAAGCCCAGCTCTCCGCGGTTCGTTTTCATACGGCGGTGGTGTATCCTCTACCTTCGAAGAAGAATCTATGGCCGCCTCTTCCAGTTGGGGAACAGGAGTCTGAGCTCCAGAAACCGAAGGTGAGAACTTCTTCCCTTTGGATGCTGCTGCAGATAGCTTCTCCTTAAAGTAATCTGCAACACTTTTTCTTGAAATCGTGAGATGTTCATCACTAAAGTTATCATCCGTAATCGGCGTCAAGGTCCCCTGAGGAGCATGGGATACCGATGTCGAAGAGGATGAAGCACCAGTCGTTGGCGCAATTCCAAATATTTCGGAAAGGGCAGTAGCAGAACGAGATGCCTGCTTTTTAGCAGCAATGGCGCGTGCTCTATGTCTATGTGGCCCAGGATTTAAGGTTAGTGCCCAGAGGAAGTAGGAGGCGACTCGCGTACGCTCTATGACGGGGTATAACTGGTGTATTCGTCCCACTTGCACTTGTGGGCTCTGGGGTATCAGCGGGTTTGTCTTTGACGAGAGCGGGGTCCCCTCCAGACTTTTCTAGAGTAGCATTCGATTCGACATCCTGCGATGTCGACATTTTCTTCTTCTTGTGCTTTTTGTTTTCAACACTCTTGTAATCGTCATCTTCCTCGTTTTCTTTCTTCCTCTTCTTCTTGGACTTAGACGAGCTACTTTCTTCTGTATCCTCGGCCTTTCGTTTTCGTTTCTTTTTCTTGCCTGAATTGCCATTGCTTCCTGCTTCCTGCTCCTCCCCGTTCTCATCCTCCTGTACATTCACACTCGTCTCCTTTGCCTTCATCCACCCGCCACCCATCTTCAAGCCTACGTCACCACCTTCTTCTCTCTCGCTAGTCTCTACCCCCCCATCCCCCGCACCGTCATTCAACCTCCTCAACAAATTCTCAAAATCCCTATTCTGCTTCCACGCAATCCCATTCGGATCCTTCTGATGTGCAGCTCCAATACCCATTAAATCCAACTTATGTGATACTTTAATATGTGTCGTCCTTCCATCTCCTGATATGCCAAGTCCTTTGGATGAATCCCACCCAAATTTGGCGAGGTAGTTTTGTCCGAACCTGGCGGCGTCTAGTACAGTGGATTAAGCTTGAGTTGCATGAAGGGTGAGGGTGGAAGATAATTTCACTCACCATCCGCCCATGATAGATTACGAGGATCGTTCCCAATGCGTTGTTTGACTTTTCTTCCTGCAAGACCCATCTCCACTTCAAAACCTGTTGAAGATGAACGAGTTGTGTTTACTGTATGGTCGACGTCGTTATCAAAGTCACAAATTGCAGGAAAAACAGATATCGAGAACGGTTTCGGCTGAGTCAGTCTCCCAGGCTACTCTCAGGCTTCGAAGAATATTGACTCCTCTGTCGGTCTCTATTTACAAAATTACAGTTCGATAGTACAAATTTCAGGTTCGAAAAGAGTAACTAAATGTGCACTGATCAAAGAAAGTCATCAGAGTATAACGGGGGAATTGGATGTATGCAGGTAAAAGATGAGGCAATGGCGTAAGCCGACAACTCGACAAAAAGAAAACAGGCAAAGGGACTGAAATAAGCATCGATCCAAACTCGAAGATAAGGAAGCTGTAAATTTAAATCGTATAGACGATATGTAAAGTTCGAAAGATGAAAGAACCAGACCAAAAAAGAAGAAAAAGAAGAAAAAGTTATATACTCCTGTGCTCACATATCTGTGCACCATATTTCGAGTTTACCCTCAGGTTTACCCTTGGCGCTTTCCCGAGCTGTTTCTATAGCGAGCTCATAATCGGATTCATCCCGAAGGGTGACTTTTCCACCGTCCTCATCCTTGAACTTGAGACCCAATCCGTTGATAGATTTGCCGAATTTGGCCGTAACTTTATCCATAAAGTCCTCAAACGGCGTTTCAGGGGTAAGAGCCATTCCACGAACATCGTCCTGATAATGGAGCTACAATGACAGATCGCGTCGGTGAGGAGCACGCAGACAATGTAAATCTTCATACCTTGACTCGGATTTTTACCAACTCAAATGGCGTATCGTCGTATTCACCACTGACATAACCTTCTTCCTCTTCTTCGTACGCACTTTGCACTCTGCTAGCCGGCATCCGCGTGGTCCGTCTAGTCACCTTGCGACGAACAGAGCCGCCAAAAGAGCTTGGGGCGTAAGTGCTAGTAGGTGCACTCCGTGAGCCTCTGGCCTGGGGATTGTTGTATTCTGGGTTAGCGTTAGTACGCGCCCAGGCGGCAACACGATCAGGGGGACCAGTTGGCAGAGGTGGTGGCGCATCGGCATACGAATCGAGATAGTCGTCGTAGATTTCGGTGAGACGACTGGCACCAGGATTGCCTATAGAGCAAAGTCAGCACATAAGCCATGGGAACGGAAGAGCGTACATACCCTTAGCGGGCGGGGGTGGAGAACTATCATTGGGGCGCCGCACACTAGACCCTCGGACGGGGCCACCGATGCCAGCGTTGGGAGATGGGCGGCCAGGTGTGATTTGTGTGTTGCTTCGGGCTATGGTGGGCTCAGGCTTAGGGGGTGGCGAAGGATTGCGATTGCCGCCCGAAGTCATCTCTCTAGCATTAGGAGGAACGTTGAGGGTCGTCTTTGCTCGACCAAGTGCGGGAGCGCGAGAGTCATCGAGTGGTTCTAGGAAAATGTTGTGAGTGCGGGTCTGGATAGTCGAAACTAGAGTCATACTGGAAGCTGGGCTGGGGGCCGTGGCACTACGACTAAGATTCCCTGCATCACCAGGCCGCTCGACGAAGACGTTAGCAGGGCTGATACCCTGCTTAAGGCGAGTGACTCCGGTAAATTCAGTATAGGCATCACCAGCATCGCTGGCGGCGATGAGTTTCTAATTAAAATATATTAATTTCGGGTTATGTTATGTTTTTCAGACCGAAACCTACAGCCTTGCCCATGTAATCTTTCTGAGTAGCGTTCTTGAGTTTCTTGTCTGACGGCCGATACAATACGCCGACAGGCTGGGCATCCGGCGACAGTGAGAAAAGAGAATTGATGCGGAATTGACAACTTACGATACTGAAGACTGTATACCCTTCTCCACGATCCTGAATGGCATCGTCAATGACGTTATGCTCCTCGGTGGCCTTTTCGCGTCTGGCCTCCTCCATGTCTGAAAGACCTTCCTGCATACGACCAAGGTATATTTGGGAAAGACCCTTGTTGAAGAGAACTTCTGCGGAGAAGAGTCTGAATTTCAAGCCCAACTGCTCATAATTGCTAGGTAACGGCGGCACATCAGTTCCGGGGCCCCGGCAGAAAACAAAAGGCTGCGCACATAGCCTGGTTTCCTCTCAAATACAAGAGAGCTTCTTCGAAGTCCTTGTATGCGAGCTCATATCGAGCGAGCAAGAAGTTGGAGACACCACATTGGAAGTAGCTATGGTAGCGGAGATGAAAAATTGCAACGCGGCAAAGGGGGATCACTCACGCGACGGCCAAATACTGATCAAGGTTGGTTGCCTCGATGAAACGCTCAACAGCTTGCTCATGCTCGCCGAGGGTTGCGTGGATGAGACCCATGTTGGTGAGGATCTTGGAGGAATCTGCGATTTGCTGATCATGGTGGTTAATTGCCATTTAGAAGACGCGAAGACAGGGGTCAACGACGTACAGAGAAGCGATCGAGAGCTTGGTCGAAGTCTTGGTCATCGTAGGCCTTGAGAGCAGCAGCCCAGGTTTCGAGTTCGGCCTTGAGAGACATCAGAGTAGCGGCGTTCCGGACGCAAAAGCAACAAAGGAGTGTCGAGGAGGAAAGGCAAAGGAAAAGAAATAAGAAGAAGGGTCGTGAAGAAAGAGACACAGTCTCGAACGGGGGGGAAGGATGGGTGATTGGGTCGGGAAGAAGGTATATAAGACGCGGGTGTGTGGTGGACACGGGCTCTGCGTAACGGCGAATAGCTGATCTGTTGTCAAGGCCGTTTTCGGCTGTCCCCGTCGCCCCCTCAAGCTTTTCTCTTGGCCGCATGCCAGAACAGCCACAAAAGTCGAGGCGTCGAGGTCAGGTCCAGATATCTATTGTCGCCGTCGAGAACGGCCTGCAGCATCCCAGCCTTTTGTGAGCCCGTCGCGCTTGCCAAGTTGCAGTCGTCTCCCTTTGCGTCATGCAGGAAGCAAACATAACGCCTAACGCTAAATAACCCAAAAGCCCTGTCATTATACTCTGGGAATCCTTGATGCCGATGTGAGCCTACACCTGAATTTACTTTCGATTTGATGCCGTCTCTGCACACACGTACTTTACCTGACAACAACCCAGAAGATCCAATGTCA